TGTGTGTGTTTATTGGAACCACATTCCTGGATCTTTCTGTCGTCCACACACTGTAACATGTTCAGGATCTTAGGTCTAACTGCAACACAGAACTCCATAAAACAGCTGCCAGAATTCTTACAAAACAAAAATGTTGGGAACAAACTGTCCTCACAACCACAGCTCTGAGTTTGATTCCGGGTTGTTGATGACAAATTGCCATAGGTTTGCGCCACCCTGCATTTCTCCTTGTTTGCTCAGATGGCAGTACCGAGCCACGTCCTGAGGGTTTATAGGTTCTCCACCCGTGGCGTCGTCCTCTGATTGTACACTCCACAATTATGCACTAATTCCAAACGTCTTCAAACGTCAAACGCTCTTCAGCTACAATACGTTTGTCACATTCAGCTTGGAGAAACTAAAACGTGTTCTTGACAGTTTTAGCTAATTTAGGTGAAGAAGAACTTTTAAAAATATATATGTAGAATTCAAACTCTAAAAGTGAAAACAGTTTAAAAGAAAAGTTTTACAGCTGGCATAAATGATGCAACAGTGTGTTTCTGAAACACTGCTCACCACGTCTGTCGGGGCTGGAAATGACCCCTCTGACTCTGATTGGAAAGAGACAGCGTGTCACCACTGACTGAGCTCTTACATAAGGTGACGCATTAGACTAAATGGGTTGTCCTGTTTACCAAGCAGACCCAAAATCATCTGCTGCTACGACCTACATAGACTCTTCCACTTGGATGTTCAAATCTATAAATAACAGAAGTGTAGATGCAGCTGGCAACGGATGTGATACATTTTGTTGGTGAAAACTCATTAGAACTGTGTGCGTGGTGTTTTTTTTTAGCGCAGTTCTAGACTTTAAATAAGTTTCTTCCCAAGCTTTTTGCTGGTAAGATGCTCAAAAGTTTTGTAAAATAACTTTTTATTGTGAAAAGGGAGCTGAAGCATAAAAAATACAGGATATATCACATAATCATGTGACTAAAGTGATTGGTGTATACTTGACTTAGCTAAAGGTAGGACAGTCTTTTTTACCACCTGCCACCAAAAGCTGTAAGGGCAATAATGTTTTTGTCCATATGTATGTGTGTGTGCGTGTGTGTGTGTGTGTGTGTGTGTGTGTGTGTGTGTGTGTGTGTGT